CCCCAAAACCCCAAAACCCCAAAACCCCGGAACATTTTTAAAAAATTGGCATTTTTTGTGTATAAATTTGAGTGGATTATGATAGGTGTAATTTAGAGATGAGCTGAGAAGCAACTGATTGAAAGAGTTTAAGGGAATACTTTTGTAAGGATCATCAAGAGGTACTGTGACAGAATTGATGCGAGACTTTTCATTTTGAGTGAGGATTTCAAGCGATCGTTGGTCCTGAGAAAATGAACAAAGCTATTGAACTAGTTGAGAGGCTTGTAGAGAGTTTATGTGCAGAGGCGAAGAAATATGGATTATTGGGGAAGATTAAAGGTTTAGAAGAGTCTTTGAAAAATATTACTGATGCTGTTCAGAAGTTAAGAGAAGAATCAAATTCTGCTACACAGAATGATGAGTTTTTGAGATATGATAAGCTGAAACTTGAAGCTCTTAAGATTAAGACTGATATTTGAAGCTCTAAATACTATCAAAATAAAGATGAAACGAACCATATTTTTGAGCTTTTGTTCTATTTGCAGTTATCAAAATGCTCAAACTCACCGAAAGATCTTGGAGAAACAAAAAAGAGTGAAAGTGAGAACAAAGCTGTTTATAAGCAGAAAGGAGCAGCAGTTGACACCAACAAACCTACTAGTGATACATGAGCTAAAATAGAAAATGAAGTTGATAACAACCATGATCCAGATAAACCAAATAATTCAGAAGATACTTACGAAATCAATAGCACTGACAACATCCAAGATCTTAAACAGATTATCAAAGAGTTGGAAAAGGAAAACAGCATTTACAAAGAGAAGGCTTCAAAGGATGAAGTTATTAAATCTTCTTTGTTAATAGATCTTGAAGAACTCAAATTCAAGATGATGCAATTGCAAGATGAAAATTCGAAGCTGAAGAGAAATGTCAAGGAATTGAAGCATACTATTGAACAATCAGATACAGCTGTAAAGTCCTATCGGAGAACCAAATTTGCTAAATTTTATCGAGATTATACAGGACAAAACTTTGAGCCGGCCAAGAAAGAGATATTAAAGCTTTTGTTTGAAGAAAGATACAAAGATCGTAATAAAATATTTCTGATGAATTTGAAATTTGGAATTCCAGAGTTGACAGGAATATCAATAAATATATCCGAAAATAATGAATTAAACATGTTAAACGAGTTCTTAATGAGATCAATAGTTGAAAATATTTCCCTCTTCCATTTGGATCGAAACTATCATCGACTCCTTGATGGCTCAAAGATTATAGAAGGACTTTCCCAAGCTTTACCAAAAATAACCAAAGAGGTATATCTCTCAGAGCTCAAGTTAACTTCTTCAGATTTTTCCAAAATACTATCCAGCTCAGCACAGACTCAAAGATGTATCGTGGATAATTGCATTCTAACAATCAGTGCTCCTCTTTCCATTTCAGTACAGAACTCCAGCATGAAGCATTTAGGGTGAACAAGTCTAAAACTGAAGAGTTCTGATCCTTCAGAATCCAAAACCAAAGAAGACTTATTCGAGATGGTATTAGACGCAATTAGCAAGTCGCCTATTGGAGGTACACTGAAGGTACTAAACATTTATGACTCAGAGATGGATAGGTGTGAAGTCGAAGAAAGATTGGACAAGTATGGACTTGAAGATATTGTAGTGATGTGCTCCTCTCATGATGTTAAGTGTTCAAGTTAATTTTAATTGTATGAGTATTTCAATTGATAATTGTGGGTTAGGGGTTTTGGGGTTTTGGGGTTTTGGGGTTTTGGGGTTTTGGGG